TCATCTATGCTAGTAGCCCAATCTGCATCAGAGAATCCAACAATATCAAGATCAGTTGAGGGCTTGATATGAAGACATAAATTTGTTGTTCCATGGAGATATCTTAATATCCTTTTTATTCCTTGCCAATGATCTATGGTTGGGGAACTCATAAATTGGCTGAGTTTGTTGACCGAGAATGCTATGTCTGGCCTAGTATTGATTAGGTACTGTAGTGCACCTATTGCTTGTCTGTAAAGTGTAGGGTTGGCCATAGGTTCTCCTTCAGCGGTTAGTTGTTTCCCTGTTGTCATTGGTGTGGGGCAGGATGAGGCTTTTTCCATATTAAACCTTTTGAGCAAGTCTCTAATGTATTTTGTTTGTTTCAGGTACATTCCACCAGTATCTCTGTGTACTTCAATTCCCAGGAAGTAGTGTAGAGGACCTAGGTCTTTAAGAGAGAAAACAATGTTTAGTTGAGTGATGAAGGTCTCTAGGAACCTTTTGTTGCTCCCTGTTACTATTATGTCATCAACATATATGAGGAGAAGTGTGATATGGTCAGTTCCTCTAAGGACAAACAGTGATAAATCACTCTTGGTGTTTTGAAATCCCCATTTTAGTAGAGTATCCTTCAACCTGTCAAACCATGCCCTTGGGGCTTGCTTCAGGCCATAGATTGCTTTGGTTAGTTTGCATATGTGATAAGGTTTGGTTGAGTCTATATATCCTTCTGGTTGATGCATAAACACAGTTTCTTTGAGATTGCCATTCAAGAATGCATTGTTTATGTCCAATTGCCTAACTTCCCAATTTAAATGTACTGCAATGGATAAAACAATTCTTACAGTGCTGGATTTGATCACTGGACTGAAAGTCTCATCATAGTCCAGACCTGCAGTTTGTTGAAAACCTTTGGCAACCAGTCTTGCTTTTCTTCTTTCAATTGAGCCATCTGCCTTGTACTTGGTTTTAAAAACCCCCTTTGAGTCTATGATATTATTCTGCCCCTGAAATGGTACCAGTGTCCAAGTTTGATTTGTTGTTAGAGCTTTAAATTCTGCATCCATGGCTTCTTTCCACCTTGGTCTGACTTGTGCTTCATTTACATTTTCTGGTTCCTTATCCTCTTTGTGTGTCTCTGTCATTCCTATATAAGGTAGTTTGGGCTTGTAAATCCCTGCCTTGCTCCTAGTATGTATCTGCTGGACATGTTGATTATCCTCTAATGTATCCTCTACTGGGTTTGTGTCCTGTATTGAGCCTGTTGTTGCTGGTGTTTCATTTGTATGAGACGTTGCCTCATCTGCAGTGACAGAGATCTCATCGAGGACTGGTTGAACTTCATTAATAGCTAGGTCTTCTTCCTGGTGGTTCACATCATTGTTACTTGGTTCAATTGTGTGACTTGTAGTGGTACCTGTAGGTAAAGGAGGAAGAGCAATAGGGACACTTTCAGTTAGAGTTTTTAATGGATTCCTTGTGTCAAGAAAGCCATCATAAAATGGAAAGTGATTCTCATCGAAGACAACATGTCTTGAGACAAAAATTCTTCCATGAGAATTGAGACACTTATATCCCTTGTGAGAGTTGCTATATCCCAAGAACACACACCTAGTGGTGTGGAATTGAAGTTTGTGTTGATTGTATGGTTTGAGGCAAGGGTAGCATGCACAACCGAAAGGCTTCAAGGCATCATAGTCAGGTTCCTTTCCAAACAATAATGAATATGGACTTTTATTTGGGTTAACTGATGAGGGCAATCTATTGATAAGAAAAACTGAGGTCGAGAAGGCTTCGCACCAGTAGTGTAAGGGCATTTTGGCCTGTGCTAGTAGTGTGAGTCCTAGTTCAACCACATGTCGATGTTTTCTTTCTGCTCTACCATTCTGCTGAGAGGTATATGGACATGACATTCTAAATTGGATTCCTGACTCTATGGCTATTTTCTGAACTAGTTTATACTCACCTCCACCATCACATTGGAGGATTTTTATTTTCCTGCTAAACTGATTTTCAACCATGTTTTTGAATTGAGTGAAAGCATGTACTGTTTCTGATTTTTGTTTTAAGGGAAAAATCCAAGTGAATCTGCTAAAATCATCAATAAAGTGAACATAGTACTTGAAATTAGATGGAGATAAAATTGGGGCTGGACCCCATACATCACTATGAATTAAATCTAAAGGTTCCTTAGCATGAGAAAAGGATGATGTAAATGGTAACAAGTGAAGTTTTCCAAATTGACAAGCTTCACAGAATGAAAAGTAATCATTTGATGATGTCTTCACATTGCAGTTCTTCAACACCTTTTTCAGGACTTTATTGTTGGGATGTCCAAGCTTTCTATGCCAATTCTACTTGACTGACATGTAGGTACATGGGTCTTTATTGACTTGGGAGTTGGCACTTGAGAGTTGATATAATCCATCTTTAACTTTCCCTTTTAGTAATGCATTCCCTGTCATTTTGTCCTTCACATAGCAATAGTTTGCATCAAATTCGACAATAGCATTATTGTCTGCAGTTAGTTTAGATATACTTAACAGGTTTTTGGTTATTTCAGGGACATACAAGACATTATGCAGGTTGAGTTTATTTAATTCAGTCGAGCCTGAGCCCAATATTCTCAACCTGTTACCATTGCCAACTAGCAGAGAATTCTTACCATTGCTTTCACTGAGATCTTGAAGTTTCTCATTTTGATGAGTCACATGATTGCTAGCTCCACTGTCGAAATACCACTCATAGTCCTGACCATGGTAAGATGAGGCTATGAAAGCACTGTGATTTTCTTGCTTGTTATTCTCAGCATAGTGATTTGAGCCTGTGTATGATTTGTCAAAACGGTAAAAACATTGCACTGCAGTGTGACCTATCTTGTTACATACCTGGCATGTTGGTTTAGATCTACCTCTTCCTCTACCTCCTCTGAAGTTAGAGCCTCTCCAGTTGCCTCGTGCCCCAGATTTGTTGTTTCTGAAATGGGTTTGGCTTGCAAGGTTTGCTGAAGCATTCATTGAGAGATTACTGAAATTGTTCAGTTGTTCCATTCTATTCTCAAATGCTAATAGTTGGGCTTGTAGATCAACCCAAGTAAGGTTGATTTGATCAGATAATTTGACCACCACAGGATTATAATCAACATCCAGGCCATTCAGTGTCTGAATTATCAGGTCCGAGCTGGAGATTGGTGATCCTGCCAGCTTTAATTTGTCGGAGAGGTTCTTCATTTTGAGAAGATACTGATCCATCTTCATTTCTCCTTTGCGAGTGTTATGAAATTCTTATTTGAGGTAGATTGTTCTTGATTTTGTGTGAGCACCTGCTAGGCCTCGGGCTTCATCCCAAAGTTCCTTAGAGGTTTCACAATGCAGCAACTGTGTTGCAATGTCAATGGCCATTGAATTTCTTAGCCATCCTAGGAGAGCTTGATCATGTGCAATCCACTCTCCATAGTCAGGATTGCTTTTCTTAGTTTTGTCATTTGTGGAGATAAACTGTTCAGGACATTCTTTGGTTCCTAGAATGTAACCGTCAAGTTTGCAACCTCTAATCAATGGAAGAACTAGTGACTTCCATAGGAGATAGTTATCTCTATCCAGCTTGACAGAGACAGTTGTAGGTAGGTCATTTTTGTGATTTGTGTTAGCAGCGGATGACATGATTGGATCGAGAGCCTTCAAGCTTAAGTGCTCTGATGCCAAGATAGAAAGGTATAAAAATGGCTTATTTATTCATTTGACATACTGTGTTAATATACACGGTTGTAGTACATATGATATCCTAGAATTATGCTAGGACTAATTACAATAATGAACATATATGGAAGGAATTGGTCATGACAGCTATACACATGCTGTGACAGAATCATAGAAAATAAAGTCATGATACTAGAATATGGAAACTGTATAATGACAGTGATATTGAGATTAATATGAAGTTATTAGAATCATAACTTCCTTTAACTAAAGGAACATGTGACGTATTTGAAAAGGGGTGGCTCATCCACAAATTGGATGCCCGATCCAGGAAGTGGACGACCGGGGAGATACTGTGGACGGGATCTCATATCCCTATCGCCACATTGCCTCTTTCGGGTCCTTTACAAATATACCAATACAAAAATCAAACTTGTCTTTACCTCCGCTATTCTCACCGATCAAGTTCAAACATGATAATTTTAATGATTGAGAAATAGTTTAGCAACAATAGAAGAAGGTTCATCGGGTGCATGAACTTAATACACATTTTCAAGAATTTGTGAAAGATCTGCAACCGGATGAGGATTAAATGCATTTGCGACACCACAAACCATGATGAATGATGCGCAACAGACCTCAAAGGAGCTCTAATACCATGATGAAGTTCTTCATGAAAAAGAAGAATGGTAACAGAAAAGAAAGAAAAGGGGGAAAATCTAACCATTCAATTGATTGAAAATGAAATTGAATTGAATACAAGTTAGTTACAAGCTACTATTTATAGCATGTGCAGGTCCTAACTACTCTAACAACTCAAAACTAACCACCTACAAATAAAAGGCATAATGCAAAGGAATGACTTGTACTACAAGTTACATGTTTGACAGGTATTTGGCAAGTTACTTGAGCTGCCAGTTATAAGTTCTAACATGATGAATTAACAAGGTAAAGCTAAGTGATTTAACATATGTATAACATGTAACAGTTTCAACATGAAAGAAAACAACATACCTTCAACAACTCAGAGCATATGTATCACACGTAATCGTCTTCAAAAGCTGAATATTGAGCCTTATCTTCAACAACTTGTGACTTTCAATGGCTCATTTACCTTCTTATAGATCTTTATATATCATTCATCCAACTTGACAACATTAAACTAAAATAAAATGATAGTACATGATTTACTTGTTAACTAAAACAATGGCTACATATTTTCAAGGTATCTGAATCCTAGTTAGATCCTTCCTATCAAAACTCCAAAAAAAATTAGGCAAACTATAAAACAACTATACATTATAATTTCAATGAAGTGACCTATGATATAGAATGTTCTGCATCTGCTGAGGCTTGAACTTGAGCTGCATATTGTAAATTCCACAGGACATCTTCAAAAGAAGGACGAGTCGAGGATTGTGTAGAAATGCATTTGATTGTGATGGATATTACAATTGATAAAGACTCTTGACAGCAACTTGTCAACACTACTGGATCTACAATTCTTTTCCTACCATCATGACTGTCAAACGATGCCTGCGGTTCATGGATTTCATCAATAAATCAAATATTTGCATCTTGATCGAAAGGAAAAACGAGGCGAGATTTTCAAGAGCTTTTTTATTTTACCCTTTCATTAAGAAAAAATGCTTCTCCTTTCTCACTTGCAATTGGTCCAGCAAGTGATTCAAACAATATGAATCCGAAATTGTAAACATCATCCTCTAATTTTGGTTTCTCTCCTTTTACCTGTACAATACATAGAAAGCAACAGAATCACTCTATGTAGATCACAGCAACGGACGAAAGTTAAGAAGCTGAAAAGAATTGAAAGCAACATTACCTCGATGTGTTCTATCTCTTCGGCGATTATGGACATACCATAGTCGCTTAGCTTGGGAAAGCGATCTTCATCGAGTAAAATGTTGTTTGTCTTTAATTGGTTTCTAAAACAACCTGGTTTTATACTGGTATGTAAAAAATGAACCGCCTTGGCAACTCCGATTAAGATTGCTAATCTCTCAGACCATTTTAGTGCCTTATCCGGTGAAAATTCTGCGTGTTTAAATAGAGCATTCAATAGAGAACATTGTGATGAAATTTATGCATTCATAAAATTATATTGTGACATACTAACCTGACAAATGTGTACGATAATCGCCATTTTGCACATACTCGTATACAAGATGAAGTTTCTGGGGACTAATACCGTCTTTTCCTCTACCATCAATACAATGACCTAAAAGACTAACCAAATTCGGATGATGAAGCTTCGAGAGTAAATCCAACCTAGCTTTGAGATTTTGTATTGACAACTTCTTTCTCAGAGCCATTGATCTTATCATCACATATGATCCATTATCAAGTTTACCTTTGTACAGCTGAAATATAGCAAAGATACTCAGAAGATTATAGAAAACGATCCAATATTCATCGAAGAATGTTTTGAGTAATCGAATGATACCTTTCCTATGGATCCTTCGCCAATATAAGCTGACAAATCAAAGTTTCTTGTGATTTCTTTCAACTCTTCAATTGAAAAGTGTCTACAAGTTGTAGTAGTTTGTGTCCCTAGCTTCATCTTTTGAGAAATATATCCTGAAATAAGTAGAAAATAACACATTAATAATTCAAATAAGCTCTTCTAAATAGTCTTATAAGTGCTTATATCACGCGGATTATTGCTTAGGCTTTGTACTTACTTGCATTGACCAGGAGTTCAGAGGAAACTCCTGTTGTTGAATTATTATCTTGAACAATCTTTGGCAGCATCTCATGCCTATAAACCTCTCTTGAATGACACTTTCTGTAAAAGAAAACTCCAAATGCTAACAAGAAAAGAAAAACTACAACAATGATAGCAATTGCAGCATCAATTTCCCATCTCCAAAATTTCATCTTTCCTGAACTAGATTCTTCACAATAAGAACCATGTTTCTGATTCTGATTCTGAGGTTTAGAATTAACAGATAAACAGTTTCCACCAAATCTAACAACTCTTCTATCAGATATACTTTCCAAGCAAGAAGGAAGCAATCCACTTAACATGTTACTAGAAATATCCACAAAACCAAGTTTGCTTCCACATTTCACTCTCTTTGGAATTGAACCACTTAGCACATTGTTTGCTAAATTCAAATAACTAATGTTTGTTAAAGAAAACAACGACGACGGAGGAGCCCCGCTGAGACGATTCGACGAAAGATCAAGATTCTGAAGCTGACTCAGTTCACCAAACTGACTAGGAATCTCACCTGTGAATGAGTTTCTACTTAGCAACACCGTGACAACCGATTTCGGCATCAACGGTAACTCAGAATCAAAACTATTTTCCATCAAATCCAATACACGTAGCCTCGAAAGCGCGGTGAGATTTGGCAGTGCACCAGATAGTTCATTGTGTGACAAGGAAATACCAGTAAGATTCTTGATTTTGCATAGTGAAAAAGGGAATGAGCCTTTTAACTGATTGTTTTTGAAACTCAAGAAAGTTAAACTAGACAGAGGTTGAAAAAAATCAGGCATTGTGGTGTTGAAGTAGTTTCCATCAAGTGTTAGTATTTGAAGATTCATCAATGTAGCTATCTTTGGAGGAATAGAACCAAATAAGAAATTAGAGCTCAAATCCAAAACTTGAAGCAAAGTAAGCCTATGAATCTTATCAGGAAGTGGACCCCAAATTCCTAAAGAAACCAAACTAAGTACTCTTAAACTTGTTAACCTTGTCAGTGTTGTGACAAAAGAATCAATAGAGAAAGTTTTGGAAAGTGTTTGATTTGGAACTGCAAAGCCATTGAAACTGGAAACCTTTCCATGTTTATTGTTGTTGTCTCCCATGATTTTGAGTTCAGTTACTGAATTGCCCTCACATTTAATGCTCAAATGTTGAGATGGAGTGAGGGTACAAAGGTCAGCATTGTAATTCTGAAAAACTTGTAAGGAGGTAGGGTATTGAAGATACTTTCTTAACTGTAACAGGACTTGAGTTTGAGAAAATTGTAGCTGATGAGTAGAATGGATGGAGAAAAATAAAGAAAGAAGAAAAAGATAGAAATAGAAATAGAAATATCTCATTGAAACTAGCAAATTCAAGAGGATAAGAAAGAGTGAATAAAAAAACAATTCTTGAATGATGTTAGATCAGAAAGGAGAGAATTTATGGTGCAACAATGAACAATAAGTAGACGTGAAGGATGAGAATGGAAGTAGTTGGAAAATCAAAACAGTAGCATTTGACATTAAGTTTAAAACCATCTTATTGTATTGTTAACTGTTGTTAGTTGTATAGAGATATTTGATTGTATGGATTCAGTTGTTAGCTGTACAGAGACATCTGATTGTATGGACCCGAGTTGGAATACGTGACAGAGACATCTGATTGAATGGATACTTTCATATCTCAGATCACTTCAGTTGTTAGCTGTACAAAGACATCTGATTGCATGGACACAAGTTGGATTACGTGACATGATGTTTGTGATAATTTAAATATGTTGAGATGAAGATGATGTAAAAGAGAGCATTGAATGTATCATGTGAATTGGGGAGGTACAATTAATGGGAGAATGACAGGACAAGTGGCGGGGTAGAGTGGATGAGAAGACTGGCTGGTGGTGTAGGAAACAACACCCTACAGACACCGTATGTTAGATAAATGGACATCCAGCCTAATTAACATCCCAAGTATCTTGGTTGGTTCTTTTAAAAACACCTATGTGCAAGATAGGTTTTAAGCTAGAATTCGAGTTCGAGTCGTGTAAGATAAAATTGTCAGAGTGTGGGCCACCGACACACTATACTCTTTCCATTAATATATATCTAAGGTTAAAATATATATTTTTATCTTGTATTTTTTATTTAAAATTAATTATTAGAGTTTATTAATAACTCATCTTTATACAATCGGCTCTATTTTTAATTATTGTGTGACTTGAAATTCTTTTTAAAATATTCTTTCACATTCATCAATTTTTTAAATTTGATGGGTCGATATAAATAGTGGACGGTTTATGGTCAACATAAAATTGTTGAAATATATGGAAGACATTTGAATGATTTTTCATAAAAAATAATGAAGTACATAGTGAAAAATTAGCGATGAAGGTTAAGAAGTAATAAAATCATAAAATTGACTTGACCAAACTAGGACCCCAAATATCATAACAAACTAAAGTAAAAAGTGACGCAACACTTTTATTTACTCGTTGACAATAGATGTGACGAATATGTTTGCCTAATTGACATGATTGACACTCATATAATGCAAGTTTATAAAAACTAGGAACTAAAAGACACATTTTTAATAAGATAGAGTTATTCAAACGTTGATGTGTAAGACTTTGAGAAGCACATGTCACTAGTGGTGATAGATGATATGATCCGCCACCACTGTCTCCTGCTCCAATTGCTCCTCTAGTTACGTCACTTGAACTTGACCTTCCAATAACATTAGGAAAAGGTGTTCTTTCTCATCACTAGGGATGAAAAAACGGGTCCGGCCGGTCGGGCACGCCCGTTTTGCCCGCACTTATTCGTGGGGCAGGTCTAGTTTTTAGGCTCGCACCCTTTAATATTCCAGCCCCGCCCACCCGTTTTTTGTGTGTATTTTTGCGGGTCAAGACTTTTACATATAACTTTATCATTTTTTGGCCAAAAATATTCAATGCATGCGGGCCCTCCCTGCTCCGCCTCACTTTTATGCGGTTTTACTTTGCATTCTCAAATATGTTTGTCTCGCCCAACTCTGTTTTTTTTTTTTGCGGGTTTTTGTGGGACGGGCATGCCCATTTTCCACCCCTACTCATCATTTCAGTCCTAAATATGCATGTGTTTTCAATTATAATTGTCTTTCAACTCCCTATGTTTCTTTTGTTTCTGCTTTGTATTGTGTGCATTTCTAAGTCTATAGAAGAAGCTATGACTGATCTCAATTGTAACATCCTAAACCTCCATAAAAAAAAATCTTTTTATTTATAAAACATTACGGGATGTAATAGAATGTGATAAGGGTGTCACATAACAAAGTACACAACTTTTATTTTAAAAAGAAATTAAATACAGGACATAATAGTAAAACGTAACAATTCGGTTCAAGCCAAAATAAAATAATGATAAAAGATCTCATCCCAATGCTACAATATCAGAGCTATTATTCGGAATAAGACTACTAGACGACTTAAGATCCGAAAAAACATAAATTTGAAAGCAAAGTAATTGAAGAGACCATATACGCCCTCCTCCAGAATTAATCAGCAACTATCATTCTTTAATCTCAACCTGAGAATCATTTGCATAGGTATACGTTTACATGACATGGAAACAAAGAAGGGGTGAGAATACATTCTATAATTAAATGGTATAAAAATAACAAGGATAATATGTAATACATTATTTATAGTCAACAATTAAACAAATTCACAAACACAGACAATACTAAATATGCAATGTTCATATCATATACTCCGTGCATGTGGTACCATAGTCGGATTTCAGAGTTATATTTACTGAAAATCCTAAAACACTGGACCAAAGTCCTAAACACTAGATTGAATTCCTAACACCAGACCAGAGTTCTACCTAACTCCGTGCATGTGGTACCATAGTCGGATTTCAGAGTTATATTTACTGAAAATCCAAAAACACTGGACCGAAGTCCTAAACACTAGATTGAATTCCTAACACCAGACCGGAGTTCTACCTAACTCCAATATATATGATGCATGAATGCCTTCAAATAAATCCAGATCGTTCGTCCAAACCTCCAACACCATGTTTTTAACATCGTCGCTTAAAGTTAACATTGGTTTTTGCGAACATAATAGCACCGGTAAAAAGACTAAACACTAGTACTCGTGAAGCTTATAACATCGCCAAAAAGGCTAAACACTAGTTCTGGAAAACCTTAACTCAAACAGCATTGGTTCTCACCGAACCTAAACACATAATACATTAGTTCTTACCGAATCACAAGTATTAATAAGTCTTTCACATATACAAAGATTATCGCATTAACACCAGATTTACGTCCTAACTTTCGACTTGCCTCATATACATATTATTATAATACTACTCATATTTATAATATTCATCTTTATACAATCGGTTCTATTTTCAATCATTGTGCGACTTGAAATTTCTTTCAATACTTTCTTTCACATTCATCAACTTTTTGAATTTGATGTGTGGATATAAATGATGGGTGGTTCATGGTCTGATCGATAGACTATGATACTATATTAGAGTTGATTTTTAATTTCGACATAAAATTGTTGAAATATATGGAAGACATTTGAATGATTTTTCATAAAAAATAATAAAGTACATCGTGAAAAATTAGCAATGGAGGTTAAGAAGTAATAAAATCATAAAATTGACTTGACCAGACTAGGACCTCAAATATCATAACAAACTAAAGTAAAAGGATACGCAACACTTTTATTTACTCGTTGACAATAGGTGTGACGAATATGTTTGCCTAATTGACATGATTGACACTCAAATGATGCAAGTTTATAAAAACTAACTAGGAACTAAAAGACTCATTTTATTAAAGATAGAGTTATTCAAACTTTGATGTGTAAGGCTTTGAGAAGCAATCGAAGCACATGTCACTAGTGGTGATAGATGATATGATTCACGACCACTGTCTCCTGCTCCAATTGCTCCTCTAGTTACGTCACCTGAACTTGACCTTCCAATAAAATTAGGAAAAGGTATTCTTTCTCATCACTAGGGATAGAAAAACGGGTCTGATAAGTCTAGTTTTTAGGCTCACACCCTTTAATATTCCAGCCCCGCTCGCCCCGTTTTTTGTGTGTACTTTTGCGGGTCAAGACTTTTACATATAACTTTATCATATTTAGGCCAAAAATATTCAATGCATGCGGGCCCTCCTTGCTCCGCCTCACTTTTATGCATGGCGCGACAAAGTTTTACTTTGCATTCTCAAATATGTTTGTCTCGCCAACTCTGTTTTTTTGCGGGTTCTTGTGGGACGGGCCTAAACGTGACGGGCATGCCTGTTTTCCACCCCTACTCATCATTCGAGTCCTAAATATGCATGTGTTTTCAATTATAATTGTCTCTCAACTCCCTATGTTTCTTTTGTTTCTGCTTTGAATTATGTGTGTATTTCTAAGTCTATAGAAGAAGATATGACTGATCTCAATTGTAACATCTTAAACCCCCATAAAAATTTATTTTTATTTATAAAACATTACGGGATGTAACAGAATGTGATAAGGGTGTCACATAACAAAGTACTCAACTTTTATTTAAAAAAGAAATTAAATACAGAACATGATAGTAAACGTAACAATTCGGTTCACGCCAAAATAAAACAATGATAAAAGATTTCATCCCAATGCTACAATATCAAAGCTACTATTCGGAATAAGACTATTAGATGACTTAAGGTCCGAAAAAACATAAATTTGAAAGCAAAGCAATTGAAGAGACCACCTACACCTTCCTCCATAATTAATCAGCAACTATCATTCTTTAATCTCAACCTGAGAATCATTTGCGTAGGTATACGTTTACATGACATGGAAACAAAGAAGGGGTGAGAATACATTATATAATTAAAGGGTAATATGTAATACATTATTTATAGTCAACAATTACACAAATTCACAAACACAAACAATACTAAATATGCAATGTTCATATCATCTACTCCGTGCATGTGGTACCATAGTCGGATTTCAGAGTTATATTTAATGAAAATCCTAAAACACTGGACCGAAGTCCTAAACACTAGATTGAAGTCCTAACACCAGACCAGAGTTCTACCTAACTCCAATATACATGATGCATGAATGCCTTCAATTAAATCCAGATTGTTCATCCAAACCTCCAACACCATGTTTTTAACATCGTCGCTTAAAGTTAACACTGGTTTTTGTGAACATAATAGCACCGGAAAAAAGACTAAACACTAGTACTCGTGAAGCTTATAACATTGCCAAAAAGGCTAAACACTAGTTCTGGCAAACCTTAATTCAAACAACATTGGTTCTCACTGAACCTAAACACATAAGACATTGGTTCTTACCGAATCACTAGGTATTAAT